TGTTTGCAGATGGAATTGGAGGTATGACCTTCCAAATTTCTTCGGTGATATACCAAAAGAAAGTTAGCTCTCTCATGAGGACATTTCGTGCTTCAACCGGAATTTTGTAGTGGCAAACTCCTAGTTCACTATCACAGATAAGGTTCTAGAGACCTTTAACCGTCAAACGTTCCGGCTGCAGCAAGGTGATGTTCATTTTAGAAAAAAGCAACAATTTATGTTCTAGTCCGGTCCTTTGGCCTCTTGTTCAACTGATAACGCCCTTCTCATTTGTGCGCAACGAAATCTAGCAAGGTTGACCCACATAACATACTAAACTCTGTAAAGGGAGATAATCGTCCCCCGCATTTAATTATGCAGTCGGTGAGGAAAAGAGCTGTCATCCACGTGTCATTATGCGATCAGGGGGAGGAATAGTTGTCATCCGCATTTAATTATGCGGGCGGTGGTGGCTAATTTGGCTTCCATCTGATCTTGAAAGATTTGTGGTTCTTTCTATATGCTGACCCATCGTAGAATACTGAACTGTATATGCACTGAACAAAAATGGGATAGTATTGGCATACAATATGCGTTTATCTGGTTGTATTGACTTTGCGCCAGTCAAAAATTGCTACCGTACATGCATGCGATACGCCTTGAACGAAGCGTTTGCGCCGCATTAGTCATTGGGTCTAATTCTGTTACCTGTTGGTTGACAGGCTCTAACAGTCGACTGGTCTATGGAGATGGAAGAGATAGAGATGGATCGACACCGGAGGATCCATCCTCATGTCACAACAAAGGCGCATTCTTGGGCTAGGTGTGAGCACTCTTTTAACTGGTTCACATTCAATAGAGCATTTGGGAAGCTACAGCATGCGGGGTTCTACGCCTCCGCGGTCAGTTAATGCGGAATGGGCATGTAAGTGCGTTTTTAAAACGATATCTACGTATGCGCCACCTGAAAACACTATCAGAAACACCGCCGAGAATATTGCATGCTCTGCTTTACACCAAGGCACGTCAGATGAGGCCAAGCACACGGCTGTAGGACTAGTTGTTGGAATTACTCATCGGTCCAAAGCTAGCATGTGTTGCAAGCTAGAGAAAATCAAAGACCGAGCAGTCAGACATAGTGTATCGTGTTTCTCGCCTACGGTTCTCGTAGTTACACAGGTCAAACTGGAAGCATTTTCGAATCGCGCATACATGGGCACAAGCTGGGTACGCGATGGGTTGACAAATTATCACAAATGGCTGCCAACGCTTTCGATGCCGGTCAGGAGTTTAACTTCGAAGCCACCAAGCTAGTCTTCCATGCAGGGAGCGTGATTGGCTGCTAAATGATTGCAGCCTTGGTCCCGGATTAGGGCCAGACCGTCAATGTGTGGATTTGGCGCCGGCATAAGAAGCCCTGCGTAGTCACCATCGGTTAGCAACAGGTCCCTATAATTGTGGCCAATTTTCTTGTTGCCTTTACCTCTGACGACAGGCCTCTGCATTCGATATAAAGCCCAGACAGATAAATGACTTGGGTGCTCCACCAGTCTTCCACCTTAATCAGTACAATAAATCTGATGAGCTAAGAGTTGTACATCTAAAAGGTGCCATTGAGTGGATAAGCCGATTATCCAGTTTCGAGTGACTGGGGGACTGAGAGTCATGTTGCAGTAACTCCTGTCTAACGCTATCTTTATGAAATCTTCACATATATTAGATTTGGGCCGCCCGACAAAAGTCTAGTATATGCAGTACGGACTGGGGCTTGTGGGTTGCAGGCGTAGATGGGCTGCTTAGCTCTATCAGTCCATGCCCATGAGTTCAGCCGTCGTTTTGGCATTTTCCTGAAAAACCTAGCGTTTCCAGATCGTTCAGATGGTCTACCTTCCGGTTGACTTCAGTTTTATTGAGGGAAAGAGAGGTAAATGCATTTGAGCTCCCATTCGGTGACATAGTGACTGAAAATGCATCGATACAGTAGACACATTCAAATAGTGGTCGTTCACAGTATGGTAGGCGAAAAGTGAGCAGCCATCAGTTAGTGTAAATAGTAAAAAAACCACGGTTACTCATTCATCTCAAGTAGTATAAAATACATAATTTTATACATAAATAATTACATAAGAAGAATATCTCGGCTCGTAGGCGATGCCAATGGTACGAGCCATTAGTTGGGACAAAATCAAAAAGAGCAGACGGTTCAGTCTGTTGTTTCTGCTGATCCACAAAATGCTACAGTTGCCGACAATGAACGTTAGGCGCTATTGGCCTCTGTCTTTGCTGATGGGCAACAGAACGAAAACCCTATTGGAAAAACGAATTGGAGATCTGTCTATCAAGAAGTTTTAGATCAACTTCAAAAACTTGTTTTTGTGCCCGTACGCCTAAGTCTGAACAGGATATGCTGGTGCGATATATTGTCCAAGGTCAACTGAACTTTAACATAATCTGCTAAGAATAGAGCCTTTTTGAGCTAATGTGCACGTATTCCTCGTGACCCATCCGTCTTAATTGCAAATTGGACGAGGCACGACACGACGTTTTAGAACCTATCACAGGGGGTTAGGTTATTTAAACCCTAGCAACTGCGATCTTCAGACCATGGTCACTTAGTAGGTGAAGAAGTCAGCGGAGGCCAGAGTAGTAGGAACAGTATGTTGTGTACACAGAGCAACGGAGAATAGATGGAAAAAGTCTGACTTGGGAGCACACGACCAGCTAGGAGGGCCAGCTGGGCTCAAGTGCCAGTTTGACAGCATTCAGGCCAATGGACAGAGAAAACATTCACACGTGCAGCCTTGCCATTCGTCGCCGGCCCAAAAGGCATATATGCGGCCACTGTGATTGGCTGTTCGCAGACATCGAGAACCGCAGTCGTGAGATTCTAATGGAGTTCAATTCGGCGCGAACTAATCACAACAAACCTGTCGGTAAGTAAAGCAAGTCGTACCTGAAGATATGCAAGAGGACATGCAGATGAGTGCGTGTAACAGTGCATCTCAAAACCCACACGCGCAAATGAGGCGCATGTACTGGATCTGGATGGGGAGTAACATATCTATTAGAAGTTTCGTCCACTCGGCATCCAGAATGATTACGTGGGACTTTTGTTCGAGCGACAATGTTTGCCTTTCATCTTCACTCGCTTTCGATGACAACGTGCAGCTATGTAACACACTCAGTGAGAAATCTTCCGGCATGCGTACTTTGTGAAAAGTTTTCCAAATTTAGGGAAAAATCATCGCCATATCTCCTAAATCAGCGTGCTTTTGTCATTCGTGATGTAACTCCACAAGTGTAAGAGCAAGAAATCACCGCCGCATTGCCTCATCCACGCCATAAGCACGAAATTATGGAGCGTACGCGTGCGTGCGCTGCAGTTATGCGACTAAATAATGGAAAGTGATGAACAGCCAACTTACATAACTGGCATAACTAATGGTTTATCACAGGCTGCTACCACGAATCTCCGCGATAAGCGCACAGTGGCTCCATATAGGTGGCCATCAGTGATGTGGACGTCAGAACGGCATTATATTTTATGTATGGAATGCAGACTTGATCCAGAATGGCCGGCGATGAATTCGAGTAGGATGAGCCCTTGAACTGCTACCCGACCCAATAAAGTTATTCTAAGAATTTCGATTCTAAATGACCCTCTATTCTTTAAGTAACTTTATTAAGGAAATAAGGTTTTCGTCCTCTAGCTCTATATTCACATCAAAAAATAGCAATACAGTCAATTTTTAGAGCAGTACATCTGAAAATTGTAAAGTCACCGTTTAGTGTGGGCCAGGTGCAAACGGCCGCCACTGCCAGAATCTTGATTATATGTAAAACATTTTCTTTAAAACGAGGATACAGTTTGTATTTAAATGTTAAAATGGGTTCAGCAAGGACAACCGTGCTTGGCAGGTCGTTCTATGCTGCCTCGACCTTCTGCAGGAAGGCGGTACGTTGGAAGTTGGCGTGGAAGAATTTCCTTTACAGTTTAAAGAGGTGGCTAATAAGACGGTCCAGCCAACTCAAGAAATTCATTAAAATCTAGAAAAATTTCACGGCCTCTGACCATGTGGTAGGTTTGAATGCGATCACTGCGTAGTTGCGGCCAGTTTGGCTACGTCTGGAGACCTGAGAGTGGGGATTTTACTCCGGTTGCGTTAAGTGCTCCATACGTAGCCATAAAAGATTTGGGGATTTCCGGCGAGTTTTGCAAAACGTTCAGTTCAAACTTCTTTCGCAGTTTAGTAGTCTCGCTTTTATAAATGTTGCTTTGCGGCTTATATTCTCATAAGTTCTAATCAGAGCCGGTTAGTCTATAACGCCTCCGAACAATATTTATTTTGTGAATGTGGCCTGAAGTTCCGTTTTCATCCTTCTTGAATGGCTGGTAGTTGTCTTTCTTCTGAAAAGTTGTTGAGGTAAAAAATCCTTTTCATTAACAAGTTAAAGATCATCTAATGCTTATTTGCTCCACCGTACAGTTCTGTTTCCCATGATAAAGCTGAAAAATCTCTGCTCATAAGTAGGTAGTTTTCCTCCCAAAAGTATCTTTCCCACTACATCGGCAGACCTTAATTAAAAGCACTAAGAAGTACATGTGTAAGACAACGTGTTCGCTTGAAATTTAGTTCAAGCCCTTTTACTTTCTCTTTAGTAAAGACAAGATCGAGACAGTCTGACTGTTTTTCTACCCTAGTCCGTTTTCCAAAAGTAAATTTATGGTTGAACACCCCTTCCATCACCCACTGTAGCAAGTTACGATTAAAGTTATATGAATGACTCTGCGCTGGTCATAGTTAGCTGAACGAGTAAGGCTTAACATTTCAACTTCACCTGGTGGATTAAGTATTTCGGCGGCGTTGGTTAGCTTACTAACTCCTCCTAAAATATGGCTTCCAGCATTTTCCAGTTAACGTAGGTCATGCTGACAAGCTGATGATTGTTGACATAAATTTGAGGAGCGCCTTGTATATCGGGCAGATATTTGCTGTCTTCCGTTTGGATCATTATCTTTTATTGTAATGACAAATAGAAGCCATATGATTTCGGTATGCAGAGGTCGCTTGCCATATACACTCTGAAGAATTTAGGTTGGCTTATTTTCCGGACTCCGTGACTTAACTTTTTTGAGATACTGCAGATATCTTTCCACCCGCGATGACAGGAAAAATATAGATTCAAGCAAGGGATCGACATTAATAACAGCAGTTTCAACCTTTTGAAACTGAAACGCAGTTATTCTAGGTAATACTCAGAAAAAGAACCTAACCAGATGTGCTTTTTCTCGCCCTTTTCTACGACTTCTCCTGATAACCTAAACTTATACAAAAGGCCGCTGTCTTGCCTGCTGATTTATAGATGTAAGTATATTTGAAGGGTTGCAGGCAAGGAATGCCCTTAATGGCTCTATTAATTTAAGGTAACCATATCATTTCTACAGTTCATATGAAGTTGTTGCTAGTTAGCATAACAAACCTTAGAGCGAGTTGTCACATCACCTTCTAGGATATCCTTTCGTAAGTCTACATGTTTAACTAACTACTAATTTTTGTTGATTTTCTTATTCTGATATCCTTGAATTGAGGTAATTTATCATATCCATTCATTTTTTCATATATATATTTGCTACTCTGTTCAACTTTGAGTGGACAGTTTTGCAGACCTTGACATCCCCGGATTTGTTCCATGCAAACAATACTGTCGACCCTTTTTAAGCTAAAATAGTCCTAAATTTCCAACCCAAGCCTTTTCAAACTCTACTTGGCCAAATTCAGGCATTGGTGTTTTTGATTTACGTAGCAACTGGGGCTATGGAATCGATAAGCATGTAAGATAGGGATGTAGGCAGTGAGCTGCACGACTGTAATCAATTTTTATAATCGAGCTCTTTGTCTGGCAAATTAGTAAGTTTATCAACAGTTATGCGATTACAAAATCAGAAAAATTACTCATGCTTACGTTGGCTGCGAATACCAACAGTGAGCTTCCAAAAAGAGACATTAATATTCGTGAAATTAAAAAAAAATACTTTCAAGTTTCGATATCGCTATGGCCCAACACTTTTGTTAAACTCGACCAAAGGGTATAAATTTCTTGTGAGGCCTAAATACCCAATGTTTTGAATTTTGACCTTGCAGGATGCCCCTTGCCGGCGGAATTTCTGCGCCTTCAATAACACCTCTTCGGGCCCATCCGTCTGGAAAATCATCAGCAAATATCGACACGGGCACCTATATTGAAATTGAAACAGGTAAACATCCACAAGTTTAGCGTGTCCTAATCCCAATAATTAGGAGCATTATAATTATAATGCTCCTAATTCAACCGAAGTTATTTGAATGATAACTAAATCCTATAAACTTCCGTAATCTTCTTTTAACCATCAAA